CCCTGAGACTCACTGAGAGAGTACATGGATGCAAAATAAAATAATAAAGCTCCTCAGATCTTAACTCAAGGCTGACAACACTTTGAAAACAACCTGCTGTCGCTTTACACTCCTCACCCGGCAGACTAAGAGACAATAAATCAAACGCAACCTTCAGTGTTTGCAGTTTATTTACACACTTCCTCTGCTTATGCAATTTCAATTAAAATAAGAAAGAAATAATACAATTCAGTAATCAATGCTATGTCCAGTGCTTAGGGGCACTGTTAAAAAACTTAAATTAAATTAATGTTCAATGAAAATAATTATGTAAATTAGTAAAAAAGTGGCCTTGAAAAAGAGGAATCATGCAAACTGCTGATTGTATTAGTGGTGTTTTCACTGCTTACTTTCTCTTAGCACGTCATCAAGGAAGGAACTATTAGTGAACTAAGCAATCTTTTGTGAGAAAAAAAACTTCAGACAAAAGAATGCAATCAAATTTTGTCCATCACTTTTAAATCACCTCCCTGAGGCGACACTGAACAAATGAGACAAAGAAGCTCAGCATTACACTCAAATCTCAATGTTTTACAAAAACACAACCTGTCACATTTAAATATCTTATAAAGGTCATAAAAATTACAAGACATTAATTTCAAGTCTAATAATATAGTTCTGATGTCTAGACTCTATAATGATGAAGAGAAAAGAGCACAAGCCACAAAAATTATAACTTCCCTCATACATTGAACCACTTGTTCATTTTTCTTTTGTCAAACAAATTCTCTGCTTTACACTAAAGCAAGCTATCAATTTATGGAGTATCTGTGGAGTCTAATACAATTCAGTACAAGAGCTTTGTGAGACGGACAGTGTTTATGTCACGCTCAGGCTGTGTGTGACACATGTTGATTCAACTCGGTATTCATTGCTCAGGCTGTAGTGTGTTTTATTGGACTGCACTTGCCTGAAGTGTTTCTAAAATACTGCCCCTCTCATAAAAACATGCTTGAACATACATAAAAAAGACCTCTCACTATAAAGCAAGTCAAGTTGAATTAAATCTTGTCAGACACTGCAGTATTCTACTGGATGGCATTAGATCATACAGTACAATAAACTAGTAATTTACAGTTAAGTGCCTTCAAGTGTGGTCATTTTATTATAATTTCATAATGCCACTGATGCTGTACTTTTCAACTGAATTGTATTTGTATTGCACCAAATCATAACAGAAGTTATCTCAGGACACTCAGATATAGAGCAGGTGTAGCAGACTCCTTATAAAATAAAATTGTGAAAAAGGCTGGTGCCCAATTTTTTTCTATTCATAATTTTTGTCTTCTTTCTTGTTCCTAGCATGCCATTGAAATACAGAGAGCACAAAATCATCAACCACTTTTGAAAATGGAACAGCAGAATGGCAATTTCTGTTGCCAGTCTCCTCAAACAGGTCACATCAGAAAACCATTATTGTCCATCACAAGACATTCCAGGAACACTTGACTATCAGACATATTGTGACCTTGACTTCTTACATGCCCAAAATATGACCTCAAAAGTTTAAATGTACTATTAGTCAAATACTGTAAAAGAAATGTCCAACATCTCTTCCACTTTTTTCTTTGTGTGTCTATTGACATCCGTCTAGTGTCTCGTCACCAGTCCAGTGATTCATCACTAACTCATGAATTATGTTGCATGTCTTAGTGAATCCTGAAATGTCAGGTTTTTTTTATAAAGTATTTTATTGGCATTATTATTAAAGTAAGTAATTCATATTCATCATACAATTTTTATTTTCTTCATCCTCCTTCCTCTACCCAGCATTATCTTTGAAATTGTTTATGTTTCTACCAAAATCCGATAAAACAATGTATCATAAAACCAGAATAAAATCAAATCATGTGTGAACAACATGATAGGTTTCTGCACCTGTGATATCCACCACTGCGACAAAACCTGGATGGAAATAAAACTTACAGCCTCACGGCGCACAGTTTGACAGCTCAGCCTTAAAAGCATATTAACCCTGTCTGGCAGTAAGTTTAATGGATAAACCCTGAGCTTCTCCACCTGCGCCCTCACTGTACTTCTTCTCTCTGCAGGGGAGCATCAGCTAAAAGCCTCGTATGTAAACAGAGCTCGTTGCTCTTTGGTATGTCAGCGTACAGACGAGTTCGATTTAATGTCTCTTCCTGGATGTAACGCTGAGAGACAAAGGTGTTGATGAGTCGACCCAGCAGCTCAGCTCGTCTCTCCGCTGCTGTTTGATTAGCGTTACAGCTGCCACTGCTGCTGTTGTCAGCGTCGACAGAAAATCCCCCACTAATTTGGCAAATCTCAGAAGTGTCTGCTCGTTTCCTCAGCCGGCAGTTAGACTTGCACCCATCTCTTTAGAAGGACGAGATGTGGAGAGGCAATCTCCTGTCTTCACCCAGAGTACCTCTACTAGAATGCTCATTTGCTTAGTCATGCAGTTAAGGAATGACATAAGAAAAAAACGAAAATCAGTTACAAGTTACTACAAAAAGTTTTTTTATATCAGTTTCCATGTTTTTCATATACTTGTATTTAAAACATATTTCTTATTCTTTTGTGTGAAGTTGGCAATAATAAATATGCAACCTCCTGTTACACTTTCAAAATAAAGCTTTCTGAGGTCGCAGTTTGGTTAGGTTTAGGCACCAAAAACCACTTGGTTAGCTTTAGGAAAAGATCTTAAGTTACTTTAAGTAAAATATTTTAACTTACATACATTATGTAGCTTTAAATAAATCAACGTTTACTTTTGGTTTCACACAGAACTTGAGGACTCCCTACGTGCACTTTGTCGCTCTCCATATTGCACTTTCATCCACGTGTGTACTTGTCACGTCGAGGTGAGACAAATGTGACAATGACACGGTATCCTCTAGTGGATCGGCGGGTTTATTACACGTTTTGGTGTGAGACAGGGCTTCAACACAAGATACCATATATTTTTCAGGTGTCAAAAAACAAAAGTGAATAGCTCTCAAAATGTTGATCACTTAAATTTTGCCTTATGTAACTCTATTTCCATATTTCTGAATTCCAAATAACACAAAATACATTAGTGTCCTCCCTCATGACCCCTCCTGGTTTGAGACATCTTACCCCTGTGTCACTCAGCATCTTGTATTCATGAATCTTCTCTGACATGAACGCAGTGTGACCAACAGCTGCCCCCGTAGACAGACTCCAGCCCGTCTATCCTCATCTCTCTGGTGTGCTCTTTTCACTGTCTGCCTTTGTTTATCCTCACATTAATGCATGAAATTTAACTTTTTGGCTCATCTGCCAAAGGTCTTATAAACTAAACAAACTGAAATGATTTTTTCTCCCCAACCAAAGTGACAGCCATCTACTTTGCATAATGATTCAGTGTGTGAAATAAAAGCGCAGTCATTAAAGCACAGAAAAGGTGGAGGCGAAGAACCGCAACACAAATACACCCAGTACTTTATTTTATATCAACTCTCTTCTGGGGTGTATTACTGAGCCTGTATCTTTTCCACCTTCTAGAGAAGATGAGAGAGAGAAGTTACTCATGTTAAAGTCCGCCAGTAAGAAAGCAGTTCATGGGTAGCAACAGTAGAAACTGTAGCAAGTCTTGTTGCTATGGAAACCTGCAGTTAATTGTTTCTTGGAAGCCGGTTTAGTGATTTAACTGTTAAACTGACCTGTGGTTAGTCATTTTAAAGGCCACGAAAACACATTTTCTCAATCAGCTTCTTATTATGAGCGATGGGCTCCTACATGAACACACACTCCCGCCATGATTAGAGCAGTTTTAGTTATTTCACATGAGAGGTTTCTTTCTGCGGTGTGTTGTCACTACTTTGTAGTGAGTGGGGCTCAGTTGAAATTGTTTTCTTATGAGGCCTGGTCAATCAAATCTGATTAAACCCCACCCACACAGTCCTTATGATGCTGATTAGCTGATTTTTGAGTGCTGGACTTTCAATTAATAACTAATGTTTTTATCCAAACTTTGACTTTGATTGATATTTACTGAGTCATAGATATTAAGTGTTACAGAGAAATACTTTACACACACCAATGATTAGTTTCTTTATGGTTGCCTATTTACAGACAGTACGGATCATTATGAAAATAACATTAGCCACAAAGGAATCAATTCTGGCCCAAATATGGGTGATACAACTACATAATTATGCATTTTGAATGTAAGTATTCCTTATTGCTTACTGCTTCCACTCGTAAAACTTGTACAACTATGTCATATCTTCACCATCCTAGGGGAAAAAAATCAGCTCACAGAACAATACTGAATGATCAGAGGGGATTTGATGAAGTGCACATGCGCTGCACTACACCACTGGCAAAAAGAGAAGAGCAGTTTAAGTGTTTTTTCTCTTTTTTGTGGCTTCACACTGTGTGTTACCACGTGGAAGAACATTTGTAAAGGTGCTCTCAGACAGTGAGTGGTTGCTCTACTGCAGAGTCCTACCAACTGGTTACACCAGTGTTCTCCATTTTGAATCCCCCTCCCTCTTCTTGCTGTCGACCTGTGCAGCATGCATGCCATTATGTTTACATGTAGGAGGCTGTGGCGGTATCAACTCCCTGTGCACCATAAAGGCGTATCCACATTATCGCAGAAAAACAGCTTTTGCCTGCACCTCCTCTGTTATTGTGTATGTGGTGTGTTGCACAGAGCAAACAGGCTTCACATTGAGACAGGACAAAAATATCTATTTATTTGATTGATTTGATTGAAGAGCAGAGTGCAAACTGTGCCAACAATTATTGATTCAAAACATTCAAATATTCTTATCTCAAGAAGTGATTAGCGGGTGCAGTGGGTGATAACGGTTTTTATTCATAACTTTTTTGTTTCAGGACACAGTTTCTTTGTCTACAGTCCAGTCGTGACAGACAGTTTTCCATTTGATAAAGTGGTAATTAGCAGATGACAGGCAAACTTCTGAAACTTTATCTGATATTTGCATGTGTGTTTGTGTGTGTTGCAGAGCCCTACAGCCCAGCGGTGTGGGTGATGATGTTTGTGATGTGCCTGTCGGTGGTGGCTGTCACCGTCTTCATCTTTGAGTTCTTCAGCCCCGTGGGATACAACCGCAGCCTGCAGAGCGCCAAGAGTAAGAGACGGAGTCACTCCAGCGTCGGCACGCCAATCAACCCGCCGCCACTGCTCATTTCATGACATTATTACCAACTTGTCACTTCGTCAGTTATGTAAGCGAGGGGGGGCTGATTCGAGGAGGGTGTTTGCTCAAATTATGCTAAGCATCCCACTTTTTTGTCAACAGATGAGTCAAAACAATCACTCCACACCCACGATCGAGCTTATTTATTTTTGATTAAAACAAACACTGGCTGCGCGGTGGTGGTTTGACATTTTTACAGTACTTGTCAGTTCATCATTTATTCCAACTGCTGTACTGGCTGCTACATTCATTTTAAATAATCATTTGGAAATGTTATTCATTACTTTCTAATAAATTGACACAAATGGAATTATACTGAATTGGAGAGACGGGTAGGTCTTTGTTCATCATTGGTTGTCAGTTCTAGCTTCTTCTTTGCTAAAACGCGTCTGCTTGTGCCTTTTTTCTCACAGTTTTTAATCTTAGCCTCCATTTCCATTTTCTTCTTAACCTACATAACAGTAGGTGGTCAAAACGTCCACTTACCAGCTTCTAGTGACTGGAGAAGCTCACACACCCCTCCAGTCCTCTTCTTCAAGTTGGGTGTGCCAGCAGAGATCTTGACCCTCCTATTGTGATGGGAAATATACATATATAATGCTAAAATAAAACAGAATATGTTAACATGTCCCAACATATTACGATCTAAGATGACCAAACAAAGCTCAAGGAGGTCATTCACATCTGATATCAAAGACCATTATTGAAGCATGATAGGAGATTACTACACCCCCCTCCATATATGACTTCTTCAGCTCTGTTAGTCATCCTATTTAATACCTTTAATGAGCAGTTCATGATTATGTCCATGTTTTGAGATATCCACCTCACTCCCAACTCATCAAATACTATACCCGTTGGTCAGTGGCCCTCTGCTTCAAAATAGAACAATGTAGGCACTCTCTAGCACAATTTCTGAACACAGGGCTCCTCTCAAGGTTCTGCAGTCAAGTTATCAAAAATAAATTTGCAACTTAAGACTTTCTTTTTCTTTATACTACATCTCCAGACTTTAAAGATGGGCACATCCAGAAGTCCCTCTAGAGGGACAGCTAAAGCGTGCTTTGACCAAACAGCAGTATTTGAAGAGTAGGAGGACGAAGGGAGACCGAGTTGCAGATTTCTGTCTCATTTGGTTCCCTTTTGTGATGTTTAAAGCATCAGAATGACACTGTTGTCATGATGATACTTTCTACTGAGGACATAGACATAGCAAATGTAACTAGAATATGAGTGTATGACTACTACATACCACCATAATTACAGTAAGTGGGAAATGTGTTCCCCCTTCCTTTCATCTCTCTTTTAGCTTTCAAAGTTTTACGCTTCATTTTGCTGTTAAGCAAAATTAAGTCTGTCTATTGGCTTTGATATATTCTTCTCTGCCTTCTTTTCCTTCCGTCTTTTCATTGATACATCCAGTTTAACTGCAGAAAAGTTGACAAGTCAGTAGATTCTTCAAACTCTCATCTTCTCTCCCCCTATCACCCACCATCCCATCTAGAACTTCAGAGTGTGATGAATCTCTTTACAGTAAGAACTCTATCACCACCTTTCATTTCAAACAACCAACTAAATTCCTCTATCTGCTCTATTTTGTCTCTTATCCTTCTCTCTCCTCTGAGGCTTCACAGTCTATATCCAACATAAGGGAGCCTACTGCCAGGTTTCATTTGTAATACCTCCATAAAATCTTTCCTCTACCCTGTTTTTAACTCACATCTTTTTGACAGTTCTAATATCAACGTAGAGCAATTTGTAACCGGCAATCACTGCTACTCAAGATCATAACAGATATGTAAGTAAAAAAAGTATCTGGACGCGCTGTCCACATGCTTTTGTGTACTGTCAAAGCGGTGGAAAGCTTAAAAACCAAAAGAGTGGAGGCTGTTATAGCAGCAGATGAATGCCCATTGTGTTAGAATGACATGTTCCCCAATCACATACTGTTATAACTTGGGTGTCCTTATACTTTTGACCATTTAATATATTTTATGTCCGTAACAGTTTATTTGGATAGTCTGCCCACAGATAGTATTTGAAACTTTTCCAATGCTTCGTCTGTATATGTTTACCAGCTTATCTATACTGTATATGTGGCAATTAATACCTTAAACATGTGTGTAAACCTAACTAAAGATTAACCACAGTGGTACAATATCAGAAAACGGTTTTATTTGTTAATACGTTGTTACGATCTGTAAGTGGACTATCGAAATAAAGTCTTGTGTCTTATCATTAAATATGGGCCTGCAATATATTCTCATTATCTAACTTTAGATTTGATGCTACTGACCCTCCTACTTGGTCTAATATCACTGAGCACACGTGTGTCGAAGTGTTCTTAATCTCCTAAAAACTTTCTTCCTTTTACACTTTGTTCTTCTCCCTCTCTTTCTCTCTCTTTCAGAGTCAGGAGGATCTAAGTTCACTATAGGGAAGTCGGTCTGGCTGTTGTGGGCGCTGGTCTTCAACAACTCTGTGCCTGTGGAGAACCCCAGAGGAACCACCAGCAAGATCATGGTGATCACTCCACCTGACTCACTGACTCACTGCTTAGTTGATTGGCTGGCTGATTGCTTGATTGTTTCATGTAGTTGGTAGTTAGATGACCACTCAACACCTAGAAGCCATTCATTTGATTATTTGCAGGTGAATTTTTAGCCGTCTGGTAATTTTAGATGTTATATAACCTTTGTTTCAACAGCATTTAAATCACTATGTATGTTTCTCCATGCCTGCCTCACTTTAAAATGTTGTTATATGCAACCTAGATGTTTTCAATGTTTCAATCAATTAAGCTCAGTTTTGACGGCTAGGTTCTTTTGACCAGAAACTCACAACATCCATGCTTATTGGACAACATTTGTAGTTTTTTTTAGATTAATACATTAGGTATTTAACTATTTGAGGCATTGATTGATTACTTTATTGATTGAAAAGTTTTACAATACAATATATACAATATATAACTCCATCTACAACTTCATTTTGAGTATAATTTCTTGAGTTTTTTTTATCCCCACACTGGCACATCCCTAATTTGCATTATCATGAAAAAAATGAAAGTTGTGAGCTTTATGAGCCGGTGCAATCAGTTTGAGAGTGTTCATTCACTTGTTTCACCACGGCGGCCTTTTTAATACCTGCTGTTACTCTCTGCCTTCACAACATGAAAAGAAAAATCAGTCGAAGGCTTGCCCCCACTACCGCAGAGTAAAGAGCCACAGGAGGTTAAAAACTCGAGGTGTCTTTTTTCTTCTGACTGCCTGCCCGAGTGCTTTTCACAATAACCCCAATCATCTCAAGAGCTCATTAGCTGCTCGATAGGCTTTACAAAAAAGGGTCAGAGGGAAGATTTTTTTGTTCTTTTCTTCACAAATGTTGTAGTTTTTAGTTTAACTGTAGGTTTGTTGTATATCACCTTGCAGGTAGAGTGAGATTAATGGTCCTGTAGCCCATCTGGATTTTTAAAATTATACCGAAGAGACAACTGTGTCTTTAAGAAAAGTAATATGATCCATTTTCATAACACATACCAACTAAAATATCATATAAGACAACCAAAAATAATCATAAGCAACAAAAAACAAAACAAAACAAGATAAATGTAATCTTTAATGAAGCCTTATTGTCTGAATGACTACTTTCTTAAGCCTATTCAGGGTCATCAGTGCCTATCCCAGCATGCACTGGATGGATTATTGACAACCATGTATTATTGATATTATACATTCAAGTTTTAATAGGCTTTATATCGACCCAAGGGTCATGAAACTCACCAGGGAGCCATTGGAAGTAATGAGTCCGTCCTTCAACCCTTCCTGTTAGGACGAATCCTCCTGTTGAAGCGTCGTTGAGCAAAATACTTAATCCTCATCCGCTAAGATTACTTCTTTTTAAAATTATGCCTCAGTTGCCAGGGCTATGAGTGTACATTTTTCATCTTATTCATTAAGGAAATTATGCAAATTAACTTTTGGCATAAACACAGAGAGTACTGTGGAAGCAAATAGCCCCGTTCATTACCGACTGCAAGTGCAAATTTAGTGCTAAGACTAATCCACATCTCTCACTTGGTTCCTGGCTGAATGTCAACAGTGCAGCATCTTGCAGCAATAAAAGAAGCACTTCTGTACAGCTAAATGTCTTCACAGCAAGTCCTTAAACCACCTTTCAAAGGAGCTTTTATATGTGCTACAGTGATTTGGGTCGACTGGTGTTATCCAGTAGTGGAAGTTGTGCTTAGATCTCTTACTTAAAAGGTCCTGTGTTTAACATTTTACAGAATCTATCGGCTGAAATTAAATATATGGTATCTTTTCATTAGTGTATCATGTAAAAGTAAGAATTATTGTTCCATTACATGTAAAGGTCCTGCTAGGTAAAGGTGTAAATGCACTTTAAAGGTAAAAAAGAAAATATTCTCTATTTTTATTATCATCAATAAATTCACTAAAAATACCGAAACCAACAATAAATATATCCAACAAGGAAGTCTGACAAAAACACATAAATTAGCCACACTGCTGCACTGGGTGACATGTTCCTTCAGTACCATGAACACACACACCATACCGCTACCAGAAATAGTCACTAGTGCACCAAATGTATATTGATCCACAGCTAAAAATAGTCCTCAACAATAAAAAGTATTTACCCCTGTTTGGGTTTGATACAGTACTAAGCAGTACCTCAAATATGTACTTAAATACAGTGCTTGAAGAAATGTGCTGTATTTTCCATTATTCATATACTGTATATGACGTAATTACTGGAAGGGTGCACAAGAAGATTCCTTCACAGTGCTCTACAATGTGTTACTTTATTATTATTATAAATTTAAGTCCAAGCAGGGACAGACAAATGCCGAGGTTGCGGTGACATTTTTTTGGAGCTGAAGTGTCATGCTGACAAATACAACTCTACCCTCTAGGCAAGACAGAGCGTCAGCTGTGGGTTTAACAATGAAATGCCAAGAAGTGAAAACAGTGTCACTGAAATCTTAAAATACTTCCACACCTGTCAGAATCAGCCCTGATTGATCTTACTCCACCGCACTCCCCCTGCAGGTGCTGGTGTGGGCCTTCTTCGCTGTCATCTTCCTGGCCTCCTACACTGCCAACCTGGCTGCCTTCATGATCCAGGAGGAGTACATCGACACAGTGTCAGGACTGTCAGATAAGAAGGTACGGTCTGGGTGGGATGGATGGATGGTGTGACTGATGGATGTATGAATGAACAGGTGGATGCAGTGATAGAAGAATAGATGGGCCAGATATCTAGCTGAGCAAGGACTCAGAATGACTCTGACAGGCTTTCAAACGTTTTTAACAGTAAATGGAAACAGATGAGAGAGAGAACAAAGAGTAGCATCCTCCTCCAAATGTTGTTTTGTTTCTTGTCTTTCTCCAGAAGAGGTGGGCAACTTCAGAATACCTTGAGTTAACAGAAAAAAAGTAAAATATTTTATATACTCCCTCGAAATGTTCCCGTTCCCTGTTGCCTCCTTTTATTTCTCAGTGCAGTTTCAGCAGAACCCACAAAACTGTATCCTGCTGCTCTGACACTTTAAAAGCTCATCTGTTTTATCAGTCTCCCCCCTCAGCTCCTCAGAAAACTGTAGCAGGAAGGCTGTTCTTTGAAAGTGAATACTTTGTAGCACTTCATCCTGCGGCAGGGATCAGCTCCTCTCCCTCCACTTCATCTAGCTCTCTTAAACTTCCTTCTTTCCTTCTATCGCTTTAATCTCCGCCCACCTCTTTCTCCCGTACAGTTCCAGCACCCGACGGAGCAGTACCCACCGCTGCGTTTCGGCACAGTGCCAAATGGGAGCACGGAGGAGAACATCCGCTCAAACTATCCCAACATGCACCAGTACATGATCCGCAACAACCAGAAAGGTGTGGAGGAGGCCATTGACAACCTCAAGACTGGGTAAGGAACGGAAAAGAGAGGGACATAGGGAACAAGAAAGTAAGGAAGTGACTGTATGAAAGAAAAGTAAAAGGACTTGAAAAAAGGAAGCTTAAATGATAAACCAGACAAGGACAGAATCCATTATGAGTTTTCTGTTTTCGTATCCCCTGATTCTGTAAGAAACATGCTTTACAGTGAGATGTTTTATACTTTAGCTCATTCTGTTTCCTTTTAGAAAATGAAATCCTCTGTTTTGTTAAGTCCATAAGGTTCAATATCATTCAATTCATAAATCTAAAACGCCTCCCTTCTTAAGAGATGATAATCAAATTACCCCCTCTTGGAGTGGCTCGCACTTTTGCAATGGCAATAAATTTAAGGGAAGTGACCAACCCTTGTTTTTTTTCCCTCTCTGAGTTCTTGAAACCCATTGCTCGCTCTTAATAAAGTCACAAAAGAGTCATTTCAGTGTGCACCTCAGATATTCCTGCAACCTGCAGCACCTGCCTGCTACTAGATGTGCATGGGGAGTATGGTTCACATTGTATATCTCTACTTTATGATTGTCTGATACTGAACTAGGAGGAGGACATTACATATCCATGGTCCACACACCCTGGTGTTTTCACTTAATACACCGGATTACCTCCCTGATGGCGCAGTGAGACAAAATTATTTCTAAACATAAACTGCTGGAGCTAGCATGGCTACGATGCTCACTACAGCATTTTACTGTTAGTAACCTCTGCCACTGTTCTAACCCTAACCCTCGGACAATCGGCATCTCTTCTTTTTGCTGCTTCTATTATTTCAATGTGCAGTTAATAAGAATATAAAAAAAGGGGATGTGTGGACTGTGGCACAAAATCGGGTTAATCAAAGGGAAATGACAATAAATGTAGAATGAAATATAATGTGGTACCCAAAATTTACACCAAGCAGTGTGTAAGCACTACTGAAGCATCCATCCATTCACTACATCAAGTCCAAACTCTATTTACGCTGTCACTTCAGACAAACGGTCTTCCCCAGGCCGACTAACATCAGAAATTCAATGGAGAAAAAACGTTTTTGTCTAGCTCTGCAGTATATGTGAAAATGGAGGCACTCTGGGATTATTATACATATACAGATTGGTGATCAATTAAAGGATAAACTGCAAGAAAAAAATGGAGAAAGAAACCAAATGGAGATCCTTCCCTGGGGGACATTTTGCTGCCGTAGACTGGGTTGCCATAGAGAGAGATGGTCACTGCGAATCAATACAAAGTTACTCTGAGTGATCGCCTTTATCCTGTCTAGAAACATTTCTATCTTGATGGGAGTGATCTCTGCTAGGATGATAATACCCCCCCTCCGAGATCCACAGACATGGAAAATCAATGACAAGGAGTATTGAAGTTGCTCTGGAGGTTGGTGGTGGAACAATGCCTTACAAAGACACTTTTTGTAACCCATCTGCAGTTCTCAACATAAAGGCAGTAGGAGACGTGTGTTTTAAATGGCTGCCTATGGAGATTACACCTCACTAGGCATGTGGATTGATACATTTGTAGAAATGGAAGCATATGACATATAACAGACGTCTAAAACGCTCCAAAAACACTTAAAAGAATAAAGAAGAACATACTTCTACTGTCATCCACTTTAAAAAAATCTCTGCCAGCTTTCTGCCACATTCCTGCTGTAATTCACAAGTCGAAGCTGCACATGTTTTGACAGCAGCTCAAAGGGATACCACCCTTCGTCCTCTGCTTTTTATTTATTTTTAACTCCAGGCAACATTGTCATCCACGACTAGTTTCAATTACAGGACCCTCTTGTCTTTCGCAACCTGTTACCGTATTGATCTGCCTCGCCTCCGGAGCCTCGACTAACTGCTGTAACCTGTGCAGCTCCATTAGGATCATGGCTACTAAACGAGGCGAAAAAACAGGAGGCAAAACAAAGTACTTTTAAATCACATGCTAGCAGCAACCGCAGTGCAGGGGGAAAATCCCGCCATCTCAGCACCGGCTGCCACTCAGGCGCCGCTTGTCTTGGGTAAGGGGGTGTTTATTATTCGCCTATGGGGCCACAAAGTGCACAAAGCACTTGCCATAAAATATACATTTGCTCATCGTGTTTGAAGTTGGAGGGGGGGTGAGGAGGAGGGGGAGTGATGTTAGTTGTTGCAGACGAAGGGTTCAAATGTTTAATGGGACAATCAAACGCACACACACTTTGGCATCCCGACAAGCAGCAGCCGCAGTCTTCAGCAGATTTGACGTACCGTGTTATTAAAACTCTCATGATGCATTCCTTTTTTATCATCCTTACTCATCATCCTTGTTCTTCTTAGATCAGTTTCTACCTCTTTCTATCTCATTTCAGCCCCGAACTCTCCTCGCCGTCTCTCTCATTATCGCTGTCCGTGGACATCTTTCTCTCTACCTCTCATCCCAGCGTTATTTACAGAGGAAACATTAGTTTACGCCGTCAAAGCAAAGCACTGTGGAGATTCCTCTTTGATTCTGCTGTCGAGGCAACAAACATCACCTCTCCATCTTTGTCTTGTCTTTCCTCCTCCTCTCCAAACTCCCTCTCTCTCTCTCCTAATCCTTTTTCTGTCTTCTCTCTGGCCTTCCTCCTCCCTCATTAACTCCTTGCTCTTGGCTCATCAACTCCTTTTGCTTCTGCTTCGCACTTCCTCCCCCTCCTCCCTCCCTCCCTCCCTCCCCCTAATCATTATCTCTACCCCCCCTCCCTTCTCTCCTTTTCCTGTCACCCACCTCCTCCCCTCCTGCACCATCTAACCTCCTCTTCACCTCTTTTCAATCTTCCATCCTTCAGCACAGTCGTCTTCTCCTCCTCCCCTCATTCCGGGAAGACTTTGGTTGTACAGTGCTGCTTCCCAAGTGTGAATATAAATGAATGTGAAGTGGAAGAGCAGGTGTAGTTAGAAATCCATCATCAGATCATCAGATATTCATCATCAGTGTGAGCCGAGCTGTTACATTCAATCCATTATTTTATGATGAAGTGTTTCAGCTTACTTTTGGTGTACACACAATTTTCCTCCACCTGCCTTTTCTGTTTTTCCTTCACTGAGTCATTTCAATGGATGCAACTAGTATGGTTTTTTAAATATATACTTCAATCTATTCATTTTTAAATTAGGTAGTTAATGGTCAGATTGCTTGTTTTTTGCACTGATATAAAACAATGAAAAGCTGCAAACTCAGTTACTTAAGTTGTACTTAACATTTTTTTTAGAATCCACTAATTGTTACAGCTCAAATTATTTCCTTCTTTTCCCAAAGAGTGTCAGTCAGCTACATTAGCAATAATTCCAAATGCTTAATGTCACATTTTAGAGATGTTAAATTTGAGCAGCTAAGTGATAAATCCTTTAATGTCAGCACCCTAGTTGTAGTTATGAGTTGGAAGATTTGGTGAATTTCTAACGGCAAATTGACTGAAAGATTTAAAGAACAAACATGTGTCAAAAGAGCTGCACATGGCTGATAATTCAATATTATCATATACAGGATTTTAGCAAATTTGTATTGTTACGATATTAACACTCCGGGTATTGTTTTACAAATGAGCGGTGTCCAAATCAATGATTTTAAGTTACAGTTTTGAGTCTACAGAGTCTTGCATGCTTTAATGCATAATTGGAATGCTATTCACTGCAAACACATTAAGCTTGATGAATCTATATGAGATTTTTCACATTATTCTACCTTATAGATATCAGTATTATATAATGCAAAATCTCCACCGTATATAATGCATAACAAGCCTTAACATATCATATTCAATATCTGGTTATATCAGGTTTTCCTGTTCCAATCTGCTGGACATTCAGTGTTTGTTGTCTATTAACGGATTTTATATTCTTTGTGTAGAAGTAACAACATTAAGTGAGAAAGGTGGAGTGCTCTTAGAAGTCTATGAGAGTGAGAATATTTCTTTCTATAGTATGGGAAAGTGCTAGGCTCATGTTCTGAAATTGTTACAAAAATACAGAGAAATGTCCACAGTTACAAGACTATAATCCATTATTTGGGTGGAGTAAACATAATAGCTAGCATACTCCAGATATTTTACAAATATCATCCTGTCCAAGAGCAGTAAAGTGACATCTGTGTCTGCCCTCAGTCCCTTCTCTTTCAGTACTCTCCACCAAGTAAACACTATACTGATTGTTTTCTGTGTTCGTCCTCACCGTCAGTTCCTTTTTCTAAAATGTAATCCTTCCTACGAACGCAGAGTTTCTAGGTTCTAAAACCTTTCTTGAATGCTTCTTAGGTTTTTCTGCCATAGGCTCCAATATACTCCTAGTTGCTGATAGCCTGCTCTATCACTACAGTTATTCTCCCCAGCGATCATTTCTGGTGGACATAAAACGCATCACTACCAGTGTGCAAGCGCAAGAATGTCACTACAGACACCAGATTTAAAAACTAAAGTATACTGTGAAATACAGAGAGATTTACCTGCTGGTGATAGGCTTCATCAGCATTGAGTAAACTCGTTTGACAACGGCTTGAATGGGACATTCATTGATATGTAAAAGTCCTGCACTCGCGCTCACTGTTGGGCATTGTCTAAGCGCTGGTTTATCCATCATCTCTGTCACTTATTACACTAGTTGCACTTCTTCTGCTGTCATTCACCTCCAGGTCAGTAATTTCAATTTCTTTCTTATAATTTAACTTCCTTCCCTCCCTGCAGGAAACTGGATGCCTTCATTTATGACGCAGCGGTGCTGAACTATATGGCCAGAAAGGACGAGGGCTGCAAGGTAAGAAATAGATCTCTGCCATTCCACAGCTCTACACAGTGACACACTCATACATGGCGGCAGCTATTGTTGAAGGTCCTGTACCCTGCAGCTACTGAGTGCTAAAACAACTTCAGTGTGCTCAGCCTAATCATGTGCGAAGACGAATTGCAACAAAAGCACAACAAGCATGCCAAATGAGTACTTCTACATCTGCAATAAACAAATCAAACACATCACATGCATTTATATTTGTCCCTCACGGCCTGGAGCTGGTTAATATTGTCATTTTTGGACAGCACTGTTGATTTATTTATAAGTTTTCATTTGATATGGCTCCCACAGCGAGATGAAAATCCTACCCAGTGATCATTTGTAATAAGGTCTGTGGGAGGCCTGAGCTCCCAGCAGCCTCATACAACAGCCATCACTGCAGTAATTATTACAACTGATGTGGATCTATATTAATTCCTCCACTGAAACAATATCCCACACTCCAGCACTGGGATTTTAAGGGATGTCGATATTAGAGCTGAGCCAACTGCTTTGCATGTGTGCAACAGTAGACAGAAAATATTACAGCAGAAATCAGTACTAATTTTCATTTGCTCATTGCCATCTGTCTCTTTGAATCTGTCTAGGGATTCATGTGCTTGTGTGTGTACGTGTGTATGTGTGGGTCTTTACGTGTTTTTGTTTTATTCCACAAGGTGATGACCATCGGCTCTGGTAAGGTGTTTGCCACTACAGGCTATGGCATCGCCCTGCACAAGAACTCCCGCTGGAAACGGCCACTGGACCTGGCTCTGCTGCAGCTGGTTGGAGATGGTAAGACAGAAGGGTAGAGGGTGGGGCACTCAGGAGCATATGGCTGACAGATGAAGCATTTGAGTCACAAGAAATGACCTCAAAAGAGCAGAAAGTCATAAACATTTCCCACTGTTTGTTACTTGGAACGGTTGGCTAGCCATTAGGCCAATGCATATAAAATAACATGATTAAAGGAAGAGGAAGGTTTTATTCATGAGTCTTGTAACATTTCTGAATTGCATGCTAGAAGAACTCCAATCTGCCCATCAGTCACTGCATGCTTTGCTCATTTCACTCATTTCATTATTAAAACCAAGCTGGAGGTAAAGAGGCCATGTTCACACAGGCAAGTTAAAGGCAGAATAAGGAGGATTTTTTCAGTTGCTGTTTGTGAACGCACCAAAGTTGGCCCCTCCTCCACTACTCAACAACCGAACAAGCGGGAGTGACAGAGAGTAGCGGTGGTCGAGTGAGCTTTAGAGTGAATGAAACCAGAAACAACCCGAACACAGCAAAATAATAAGAAAATACAGGCGGAAAACTGACACAGACACTTCTAGTGGGTTAAGTGATGATTTAGAGGGATTATGTTGTTTATCCCCCAAAATATAGCTTTCCAAACAGAGTACATTTGAAAATGTTGGATTTTTGCAATGTGGACAGGGATAAAAGTTTTTTTTGAATGCAAATCACAAATAATTGTCAAATAATAATTTGCTGCTGGATAAAGTTCCTTTCACATATCCAAAGAGTTTTAAGTAATGTGTATTGTTCTAGGATGTCAGGAAAACAAGTATAGCAACACTGGTAAGGATAGGAAACATTTGATAAAAATCATTTTATCATCAATATTATTGTGGACGAGGTCAACAGTAGATTTTATTAGTCAGCAGTGTGATACAGATGGTGGTTAGATAAAAGAGGACTAAGTCAGGCAGAAGTCAAAGATGAGAAAGAGAGATGGAGCGAAAGGCACGAGGGAAGGGAACTTTTGAGGGGTGAGGATTGGAGAGGGTGTGATGGGACGGGTGAGGGTCAGTGGAGAAATGAAAGGGGAGGAAGGTTTGAAGAGGGAAGAGAGAGGAAGATCAATATAGAAGGTTAGAGGGAGGCAGAGCAGAAAGGAAGAGGAATGGAGGTGTGATCTATACACACACTTGTTTTCTTTCTCTCTGTTCACACACTGTAGCACATCACACGTTCTCTGTCACATCTCTTTGATTACGCACACACACACACACACACACACACACACACACACACACACACACACATATTTATTTCACTTATTTGTTGTTTATGTATGTTGTTGTTTTTGTAACAGTCACCTTCTGTTTGAGATGTCACATTTTTCCTCTTTTTTTCTAAAGCTGGGAGATATAAAAGTTCCTGTGAGGTTTCACCTTCATGCCTCATCTTTCTTCCCATCTTCTGACTTATTTTTCACTCAGATTTCACATTTCTCTTTACAATTCAAATTGCCTGTCAAGATCATTTGAGGTATTTTGGTTTCCTGTTGAGCTGAATGATGACATTTTATAGCAGATTTGGGTTTAGAAAGTGTGTTGTTGCTGCAGTGACAGGTTCTTTTTATATCAGCGCAGTTCTGTAAAAGCAAATGTTAATAATATAACATAACACCACAAAAGATCGATAATAATTGGTCTCACAGAGATTTCTTTCATTGGAGGCGGATACAAAAGTCTGTTTTTCATGTGTGTTTAAATAAAATTCAGCCTTTGAGCAGTGATGATTCTGTTGCCCTGATGGGAAAAGAAAGTATCAAGACAAACATTCCTAAAAATGCTGGAAGAAAAGGCTTTCTCTTCAGCTGGTCCTGAACAGCAGCTGGCACTATGACAGAAACAGTCACACACATGCCTACACTGCATGTCACCTCTGGGAAAGTTCATTCATACAGTAGGTACATAGTTTACCTTCAGAACCTTTTATGTGTTTATAGATGCAGAAAATCTGGGCTGTTCCAAAAGGTCTTATGGTGGGGGAAATTTTCAAAAATAATATAGGACTAAACATGAGGTAATTTATGTATTTATCGCCCAGTTATTCTTAATGAAAAGAGCTACTTTACAGCTTAAACATGCCCTCATTAAAAAATAATGCAAACCCAGACTTTCCTTTTGAAAGTCTGTAAAACAGTTTAGAAGAGGTAATGGTTTCATATTATGTATTTTTAGGCTAATTATTTTACCCCAAAAAATGATTGCCTTAGAACATACACAGTACCTAAGAAATGCAGAAACCACAGTCACAGGACGCTCAGAGAAACTGAATTAGATTATCTACAAGTTTCTGTTCGAGAACTATTCATTTTTTATATTGAAATCAATATTGATTTACAGTTGAATGGTCTAGAGTTTTCTTCCTTCTTTACATCATGAATTAATTTAGCTGCTACCTTATAACATTTTTATTCCGTAATATTTATTTATATAGTAAAACCGATGTCAGAAAGTCAGATACAGATATAACTAAAATTTGATAAAATATAGCAGCATGGGTTGGTAACTTGTTGCATTCAGTGTGAAGTTACTCTTTTACTAAGAAAAGGAGTAAGTGTAGAAGAGAGAAAGACAAGGAATAGTTAGAAAAGAGGTATGACAGAGACAGATGTGAGTAAAGGAGGAGTAGTGGAGGCGCTCATCGCTCCTTCTGGTACCTTTTTAATAGCACAATTAACTGGCTGGCATTGTTAACCAGTCTGTTTATGCCTGTTTGTGTCAATCATGGTCTCTCAGCGCTTCACAGTCCTGCTTCTGATGCGTGTGAGTGTCTGGAAGAGGGGGCAGAAAGGAGACAGATGGAAAGATAGAGAAAATGAGAGAGGAAAGTCTCGAATCCTTTTAATAGTCTGTAACAGTACGTGTATGTGTTTACTAAATACATGAACTGAGAGAAGGTACATCAAAATTTGGATCTGCAGACATATATACGCAGACATATTTGAACATCCAAACTTAAAAAATATGTCAAAATAAGATACAAATATTAAATTATTCAAAAATATGTTCAAATTACTGGTTTCTAGGTGAAAAATGATGCTACAAAGACAAAATCAATGTTATTTTATTAAAAGCATTTGAGTTCTTATCTTCCAGCTGTAGCCTACTTATAAAGAAAATATAATGTTCTGATTTCTTTTTGATTGAAATGTTTTGGCATTATTTGCTCTCCTCCATTCATGTCAGAAGTGCTTTGAATAAAACAGGAGGAAGCAATGTGAATAACTTTTATATACTGACCTTGAAAGGTTCCAGTAATTTGGCTTGCAGTAGTTAGAAGGACTGTCAATATTAAAATAAGAGCCCTTCTTTTATGTTTCGATAATGACAGGAGCTTTTTAGCTTCTGCTGGCGTCAGTGCTCAGTAATGGTAAAATCAGTGATAAATCTGCATTCAAAGAAAAAAAAAAACCCTTCACACTGAATGAGTACCAACTTCAATACATCAGAAATTTTGAAGATGAAGCAGTAATGCAAATAAGCTATGAATGACAAAAAGCAAAATTACTTCACAAAAGCTAGATGAAGACATTCTCTATGACTATGTTTAGGTGCACAGTAGTATTATGATATGTTTATGCCCGTACAGATTTTATCCTGGTTTCAGAAATAGGTCTGCATCCTGTTTTTGAAAAGCACACTCACACTCTGATAGAAATGTTTCTGATCATCTTGCAACCTAAATCTCTATATAGATACAGCAGCACAATTATGTGACATTAAAGCAGCTACAAGGAACTTTAATTTTGTGTTGATTCTGGAGGCCCCTGGGGACGCTGTAGTGTTTCCACCGTTGTTTATTTCAAGGGGAATCCCACCAAATCCGACCCAGTGGCAGGCATTAAGATTAAACAGCCAACATTTTCACTGATGGTCTTGTTTGTTTATGTAGGTCATATACAGGCAAAATATTAAACTGAGATGATCATGTTTTACTTACTTTTTAATGTTTATTTAAGTTACACAATGATATAGATTAGGTTCATTGTATCTACCTATGAATTGAAGTGTAATTCTGACCTTGGTAAGGCAGAATTACAAAAGCAGCAAACTTCAGACAGCCATAAAGCAAAGTTGATTTATTCTGAGCAGTGTCAATTAGTGCAGAAAGTACAGAGAAGTGGACAAAAACATCAAAACACACCTGTGCAGATAGCACACAGTATATAGAAACTTTTTCTAATGTCGTCATTTATTCAGGTGTGTGAATAAATTCAATGTTCTGTATAATCATCCAAATTGGATTAAGAAGTTATTTGTCTGAACAACACTGAAGGACCTGCTGTAAATTGCATTTCACGTTTTTGCTTAATACTATTTAGGCTAATTGTGCTCTCTATATTGTTCACCCAGTAACTCCACATCGAGCCATAGCAACTTTGTAACCAACCCCAAAGACATCACATGAATTCATTTTTCACGGCACATGCACTGTGGCCCTAAACAGGTCCCGTAATTGTTCCTCATAATACATCTCTTTGTTAGAGCACCGTCCTTTCTTTTTTTAGCTCGACTGGTCAGTCACCAAATTGGCTCCTCTGGGGAGCAATTTAGTCCGTTCGCAATTAGTAAGCTCCAGAGTCGACATGGAAAATGCCTCAGTGCCAGAAGTGACAGCGGCTCCCAGGGGCAGAGAACACTAGAGGCTGACGGCACGTAGATTCTGAAAATGTTCAGACTGAAAGCTGAGTTTTTTTTACACCTTAAATGAGACATCTGGCAATTTGATAGGGTGACACCACACTTACCAAACTGTTGATATTGAAAAAATGTAAAACTAATAGTTTTTTAAGGAGGGTCTTCTATAATGTAGAAATGCTTTTAATTTTAAAATATATTTAAACCCTAACTCAGCCTACAGAATAAACTTTTTTAGTTTTTTCAGTTGTAAGTACACTGTATTGCTTTTAATAAAAAAAAATGTTGAAATGCATTACATCGAACATTTTAAGTAACACAAACTCAATTTTATAAGTTAAAAAAGATTATTGATGA